AATCAATCGAGCCATCATCAACTAATCAGATTCCAATATACCCACCCAGATGAAAACGATTACCCCCTTTTAAAAACCCTAAATCACTCGATCGAGTGTGAGTAGGGTTATGATTTGGGTGTTTTTCTTATAGGGGTTGTAATACAAGATAGGGTTAATTTGAAATCATGGCCAAGAATAATCAATTAAAAACAGATAAATGAAATTGAAATTGGAAATTACCTTTGTTTGATCTGAGTGACGAAAACTAGATAGCCTTCAGAAAAACCTAAGATGAAACAAAGGTATAAAGAAAAAGCCCAAAGAGTGGATATTTAAAGCATTGATGATGATAGCGTATGGATGTTTAATAGGTTACTATCATTTTGTGCAGGAAATTCAAACAACTCTTAATTACAAATTATTATACACAATGTATAAGTTCTTTATGCAATGGTTTCTCACAACACCAAATCCTAATGGGTTCAAACGTGCTTTCTCTCTTTTGGGTTCTTCTTCTTCTTCTTCTTCTTCTTCTTCTTCCTAAACCCAAAATGGATGCAATGAAATCCCCTGTCTTCCAAATCAGTTTCAGCAGCTACCAATTGCAGTTTTCTCTTCTCCTCTTCCCTCATCCACGTACAATAATGATATTCTCTCTATACTCCTTATCAACGATTTGAAATTTCAAATTTGAAATGATGCTTGAAGGGTCGTCATGGTGTTGCTGTTGTTGCACCAGTTCGAGGAAGAAGTCCAAGGCGGCGGTGTCGAAAAAGAAAGGGCTGAAAGCTTTATTTGGGCTCGGAAAACTTCGCGGCAGGAAGAAGTACTTAAAGAAATCGCTGGCACCTGCCTACGATCTCGAGGAGATCGAAGAAGGGCGCGAAGGGTACGACGATTTGGACAAATCATTGCTAATGTCTTAGAAAAAACTTTGAGAAACGATTCGAGCAGTCTCCGGTTTTCATAACGACAACTCTAATGGAAACCGGTGGCATTCTTGAAGGAACCAACAACGATTCTTTGATCAAAGAAGTGACTCATGTCATTAGTTGCGGGACGAAGAGAAGACCAAGTGGGGCAAAGAGGTAAAAAAAAATCGGTTTTTCATAATCATTTACAATCACGATAAATCGTACAAACTTACAAACCAATTTTTATGTGTTGATTCATATTTGAAACATTCGGGACTGTTTTGTGTCTGGAAAACCATTATTGAATGTTTTACATATGAAACAACATATATGAAAAACACTATATGTTCACACATGTTATTTGATATATGAAAAAACACATTGGAACCATAAGGGTGGTGCCTGATTGGGTTGAGTTTAGCTTCAAAGGTCAAAAGTACCAGGAGGTCTCAGGTTCAAATCCAATGAGGAATAAAAATCTTCTTGTGGCCACGGAGGTTCAAATGTCGTAACTCCAGACTATCTGCAAAGCATGTGGTATCCTTGAGATTAGTCAGCTCGCATAGCGGATTGGATATCCAGGTTAATAAAAAAACACATTAGAAAAATTGTTTGTTCATTATGTATGAGTTATTAGGCATCCTAACAAGTTTTAAGGACATTTTTGAAAACCAAAACATGAAAAACTAAATCAGACTAATATAATCCGACTAAGTTTTTATTTTGAATCAGACTGTATCAAAAACCAAATTTTATAAATATCTTGAATGAAAAAAAAATATTTTTAAATAAATATTGAACCAATAATTGAATACTAGAAAGATACTCGTGCAATACAGCGAAATACATTTTGATTTTAATATTTTTTTTTGTTATTTGTTTTCGTCGATATAATACGGTTTTATGTAATTTTGAGAAAACGATAATGTTTTTATTTTTTAATAAAATATAAATTTGAATATATCATAAAATTTTGAAAAGAATATATATCGATATTAGTATCAAGTTGACTATTTAAAAATTCTCGGTTTTTGTATTTCGTAATTCAATTATTTATTATAATTTAATTTAGATTTAATAATGAAGTAATTTATTTTTAGTTTAATAATACAATACATTATAAATATAATAATATTATGTTAGAAGTCAATGATTATCCTAATTATATTATAGATTTTTTATATTTAAAACGAGATTTTTATATTGTATTTGATTATATTTATTTACAATTAGTTACATAAATTCAAAAATAGGGTTTTAATAAGTTGTACTTATGTAAAATCTACTTTTAAACTTAAATTTTAAGAAATATACATTAACAAACAACATTTCATACATAAAAAAATAGTTTTTTAAAAATTTCCGTCAAATATTTTATAATATAGTACAGATAATCGATTTCAATTTGAATTGATTCTCAATTTTAATTTTCGGTTTTATGGATTTATACAAGTTTTTGGATAACTTTATTTCGGATTAAATAAATAAAATAGTAAACTACAAATTTGGTGCCTAGTTTATCAAAAATCACACTTTTTATCCCTATAGTTTCAAAATTATAGGATGAACATCATGTTTTATAAAAACCTTCGGATTTAGTCCCTCTCTTTAATATCTGTTAGAAACTCCATTAAATGAGGGATATTTTCATCATTATATTGATTTTATTCGTCTTTCATTCAATCAAAATCAATTATATGATTCTGGTCCATGCGATTTTTATTTGAGCTAAAGAGGAAAAAACCCGATAAAATGGCAAAAATATCCTAAAGTCACTTGTATATGATTTTTGCCACTTTAATTCTTCAAACCAAAGAGATCACCACACTTCTAAACCGCCAAACTCTTTGACGCGATCTCAAACACGTTCTCCGACAACCCGTTAGCCGACATGATAATCTCCAGCTGTGCCTGTTTTTTCAGTAAATTACACAAACCATTTCAACAAACCCGAAATACCATCATAATCAAGAAACATCAAGATCAACACTCGTTTTTACCTTCGCAAGATTCTGTCGGGTTTCATCATAACGCTTCCACCTAGAAAAGGCTGAAACCATCCGAGATGCCACCTGCAATCAACACGAGTACATCTTAGAAGGGCTCAAGGGCAAAATGGTAATTTTACAACCCCAGAAGATTTATATTCTACAATGCAGTAAAGATTTTAAGGGGTGGCCTAAAGTTTTGATTTTGGTCTTGGCCAAAGCAGAAAGAAATCAAAAAAGGGAATAGATCAAGATGGGCAAAATGGTAATTTCAGTGTGACCCCAGAAGACTTGTATGGTTAAAGATTTTGAGGGTGGCCTAAAGTTTTGATTTTTGCCTTGGCCCAAGCAGAAAGAAATCAAAAGGGGGAGTAGATCTTAGATGGGCAAAATAGTAATTTCAGTGTGACCCCAGAAGACGTGTATTGTGAAAGATTTTGAGGGTGGCTTAAAGTTTCAATTTTGGTAAGTTATATTCACATGTGAATATACTATACTCATAATCATCTGCACCTGAGGGTTCAGTTTGTCGAGTTGCACCACGAGTTCTCCCAAAAACTTGTATCCCGAACCATCATTCGCATGGAAATTAACTGGCGAGGCACAAAATCCTCCGATCAGAGAATACACCTGTTCAACATCAGGGATCGAGAATAAAAATCATATAAATGAACAAAAACGTAAGTCCACAAGTAAAGCAAACCAACAAGCCCCATATATCCCACCCAGAAGGTGGACCCGCCCACGCCGGGGGGGGGGGGGGGGGGGGGGGGGGGGGAGATACACGCAGACCTGACTTCTACCCCAAAAGAGCGGTTGTTTCTGTGAAGACTCCCAGCTTGT